TTTATTAGTCCGAATTATTTTCCAGTGTTGATTGTGAACAATTAATATGCTCGTAGCTGTAGTGCACGCTAATCCAAAAAAAGACGATTATAGGCGATGTAAAACTTAGGTTTTATTTGTACAAAAAAAATATTGCTACTCAAAAAAGGGCGGGCTATTTCCGCGGTAAAAATGCTTGTGTTTTTCTTTCAACTAGAATTTACAGCAAACGTGAATAAGAAAAACACGTATTTGACATTTCCTTTTGGTTAGCTATTTTCTAACAGGGTTGCCATATGTCTGTGGCAATGATGGTACATCCAACATACTCCCCCGCCATGATCTTTGGGAAGATCAGTATAATTGAAGCTTTCGCCTACGACGTCGTAGCAGGGGATTACTCTCTCTTGTTTGTTGAAACCTCACGCTGTCACGCACAAGTTGGTTATATCGCTTGGTGACACAGAGTTGCCGCCTGAAAAATAGCTTGAAGGAAAATACAATTTGATTTTACATAGGTTGGTTTTCGGTTTCCTCATGTTCGTTGTCGGGAATAGGTAACAGGCACACTTTCGTAATAGGCCTTTTGACGATGCCACCTTGAGTTTTTATAGTAACAACTCGAATCATGTCGTCAGCTCCTGCATGTGTTTTAACTATTCTACCAAGTGGCCAACGATTGCAAGGGAATCGCTCGTCTTTAATTAACACGATATCGTTTACCTGTACACTTGGTTTAGATCGCAACCACTTTGGTCTTCTTTGAAGTCGTGACAGGTACTCAGCGCTCCAGCGACGCCAAAACTGTTGAACGAGAAATTGGCAGTTTTGCCAACGGTCTCGAATATTGAAGCTTCCGATTTCTGCTGTTGGAGGTGCCAGAAGTGCGTCTCCGGTTAAAAAATGACCTGGGGTTAAAACCACAAGGTCGTGAGGATCATTTGTTAGAGGACATAAACACATAACAACACATAAGTTAGCACGCGATCACCGATAACTTGTTTCAAGTGATACTTCATAGACTTCACGCCTGCCTCCCACAATCCACCAAAATGTGGCGATGAGGGTGGGATGAAGTGCCATTGAATCTGTTGTGAAGTGAGCCATGGAATAGCGTTTGATTCGATGAAGGTGCGATAGGCTGTTTGATCCGCTTTTATCTTTTTATTAGCACCAACAAAATTGGTTCCGCAATCGCTATACAAGTCGCTGCATATACCTCGTCGCCCGACGAATCGCTTCAATGCTGCAAGAAAGGCATCTGCGGAGAGATCGCTAACGGGTTCTAGATGCACCGCTTTGGAGACTAAGCATATGAATATAGCAACGTATCCTTTAATTGAAGTGCGACCTCGACCTTTTGAAGGCGAAATGTTCAGGGGGCCCGCATAGTCCACTCCAACGGACGAAAATACTTTAGCTGGGCGCACTCGGGCTGCGGGCTGGTTTCCCATGAGTTGCTCTTGCGTTTTCGGCTTACATCGATAACAAGTCATACAACGGTGTAAGCGAGACCTCACCACGTTTCGTCCATTTATTATCCAAAATCGTTTTCTGATATAGTTCAGTGTGATTGCGGCCCCGCCGTGTAGTGTCATGCGATGACTGTAATCAATTAACAATTGGGTGAAGTGGTGTTTCGCGGGCAATATGAATGGATGTTTTTCGTTTATCGGGAGTAGAGAATCGCGGAGCCGGCCCCCCCAAACGAATCACGCGGTCTGTATGATCGAAAAACGGATTTAATGGAATCAGGGTGCTATTCCCAGGAATACTGCGATTTGACGAGAGGGCTTTCCATTTGCTTGGAAACGCTTCAAGTTGAACAATTGAGACGATACTAAGCATGCTGCGGTTCAACTCTACCACAGTTAAGCCGCTTCTGCATTGCTCATTTGGGTGACTGCAGATATGAATGAATCTGTAACAATAAGCAATTACTCGAACTAAACGAGTATATGATGAGACTTCCCCAATGTAAACTGAAATAGTTTTCTTTTCAGTATTGATCAAATTTACCGAAATGGTATGTCTGTTTTCTTCTGCTTCAATAACAGCTGGAGGCATAGTTAGTTCGATCACTTCGTTCGGCCAATGATCGTGGTGTCGTCGTAACCACGACGGCCCCGACCACCAGAGTTCATGCCTCGATAATTTGGATGGAGTTAGGCCACGCGTTGAACAGTCCGCAGGGTTTTCCTTGGTTGGCACATATCGCCATTGATGAGCGCCTGTAATTTCTAAGATCTTACTCAATCGGTTTGCAACAAAAACCTTCCAACGGGTGGAATCACCTCTTATCCACCCAAGTACCACCATTGAATCGGACCAAATAACTGTTTTAGAGAAATCGACATTGGAATGTAAATTTACCTTCAAAAATTTTAACAGTTTGATTGCGAGTACGGCAGCGCATAACTCAGCGTGCGGTATAGTTAATTTAGGCTTGGTTGGCGACACTTTGCACTTGGCCATGAGTAAACTTGTATGATATTGTGAATGTGCACCTTTGGCTCTCATATAGGCTGCTGCTGAATAGGCACTTGCTGAAGCGTCACAAAATATATGGATTGTGTTGCTGCTGTTATGATGGTTGGTGTTCAGCCAACGGGGTACACGTATCATTTCTATAGATGGAAGCTCCTTAGTATACTGGTTCCAGAAGCTTTGAATTTCTTGGGGTAAGATGCCATCCCACCCCAGCTTTGTAATCCACAATTGTTGCATGAAAAGTTTGGCTCTTAAAATGATTGGATTGAACCACCCCAATGGGTCAAAAAGCCGCGCTATGGTGGAAAGAACCATCCGTTTAGTTGGTGGCCCGCTAGGAATATCAAACTTGATGCCGTAGGTAAACTCATCGGATGCAGGATTCCAAAATATTCCTAAGCCTTTAAGGTTTCAGTGGTATTAATTTGCAGTGATCCTTTCATTTCACGATGTTCAATAGGAATGCGCTCTAACAACTGGCTATGATTACTGGACCACTTATGACGCAGAAATGTTCCATTGTTCAGCATACCTCTTGTTTGTGCTTGTACCTCGAGTGCTTCTTCGATTGTGTCACCTCCCGACAAAACATCATCGACATACATCTGATGTTTGATGACATTGACAGCAAGTGGAAAATTCCGAGATTCATCATCTGCTAACTGTTGTATGGTGCGGATGGCTAGAAAGGGTGCTGACCTAGTCCCGAACATAACGGTGGAACAATAGTATTCTTTAATTTGGTCGTCTGGACTCTGTCGCCACAATATGCGCTGATACTGAGCATCCTTTCTATGGACATTGATAGCCCGGTACATCTTTTCCACATCTGCTAAAAATGCGTACTTGTAAAAACGCCAATTTGTTAGCACAGCTGATAAGTCTGTTTGCAATGCCGGGCCGGTAGCTAAAATGTCGTTCAGAGATCGACCGTTGTTTGTTTTGGCCGATGCATCAAACACGATACGTACCTTTGTTGTAGAAGACGATTCTTTAACTACCGGGTGGTGTGGAAGATAGCAAAGGGTGGAAGCTGTATTGTTGATATTCGTGTTATGGTGCATTTGATCCACCGCATTGACTGGTTCCATTTGACCGAGTTGTAGATATTCGTCGATGGTGTCCCGATATATTTGCCTTAGTGAAGGGCATTGTACCAAACGACGTTCCAGATATAATAACCTCTTGAGGGCGACATGTTTAGATGTGCCGATACAGACGGAAGGATCAAGATATGATAAGAGAGGCAACCTTACCACGTATTTCCCATTATCCATGCGAGTAGTAGTGCTCTTATAAAAGTCTTCACACCACTGGTCTAGTTCCGACAATTTGCGTTCACTCTGACATTCTTCCATCTCCCAGAAACGTGTTAATAACTCCTCAGTTTCGGTATGTACATGTAACGAAGATAGGGTATGTGGTGGGGATGGGGGGGGCGCTTATTTTTCCGGAAAGAATGTAGCCAAATAAGGTGCATTGGCCAATCGGCTCTCCCCTGTTTCCCCTACGAACATCACCACGGATAATGTCGTCATAAACATCGTTTCCTAACAAAGCATCAATGCTTTGGGGTTCGTAGTATCTCGGGTCTGCCAACTGCAAACCGTTCAAATGGGGCCAAAGTTTTGGCGGCATGCGCTTTGGTGGCATCACATGGCTTAATTTCGGAAGAACATAAGCTAAAACATGGTGTTGAATGCTGCTATCAAACCTTGAACCTATGGTCAAGATAAGATATGACTTACTGACAGCCACCTTGGTTTCGCTTAGCCCAGTTACATTGATAGAGGCTTTGTGACGTGGCATGTGTAGCAGTTGCACTGCACGTTCAGTTACAAATGATGCTTGGGACCCCTGATCCAAAAATGCTCGAAAGGGAAGAATTTCACCCTCGAAGTTCTTAGCCGTGATGACTGCAGTCGGCAATAAAACATCCCAGCTCGGCAAGGTGGAATCCTCTACTGTTTCAGCTGCAACTGCAACATGCATAGATGCCTCAATGCGATCTGCATGTATAAGCGTATGATGTCGTTTTCCACAAGTTCGACAATTCCTCCGGCTACTACAATTGGTGGAACGGTGGTTGTGTCCTAAGCAGTTGAAACACAGCTTAAATTTTTCAATAGCAGCTTTTTTATCAGCTAAGCTTAAATTTATAAATTCTGTACACTCTCGTACGGGGTGATCCGACTTCCCACAGATTGGGCATGCAACATCTTTCTTTACAAGATATACCTTGGCTTCTTTCTTGCTAGTGCTAGACGCTGGATCCACTTTCTTACGAGTGTCTTGCTGCTTTGATAGTGCTGATGGCTTGAATGTCACTAACACTTGATAATATTCGTCTAAAAAATTGCAAAGATCAGTGAATAGCGGAATATTTTTATGTGCACGTTGAGTTCTTTCCCATTCGTTGCGCACTGAACTCGGTAACTTTTTAAGCATATAATATACAAAGATATGATTTTGTTCATCGATGTTTACTCCCAGCTTTTTTATCGAATTCACACAGGATCGGCATGTTTGGGTATAACGTTTCAAAGCACTTGCATCTTCGCTACTAGTCACAATTTGCAGATCAAAAACATCCATATAATGATAGAATAGCACGCGTTTGTTGTCATACGTGCTCACTAACATACTCCAAGCTACTTGATAATTGTCACTTATGATGCTCAAATGTTCGATGTCTTGCGCAGCGTCATTCGACAGCGCGCCTTTTAGGTAATGGAAACGCTGGAGATCGGTAAGACGGTTATTATTGTGAACTCTGGATTCAAAAACTTCCTTGAATGTAGGCCATTCGATATAATTACCATTGAAAGTTGGTAGCTTCACTTCAGGTAGGGGTACGTCATTACTCGCGACGGTTGCTGATGACGCATCGGGGTTAGATGATGGCGTACTCGCAGACGCACCTGTCGGTGGGAAGGTGATGTTACGCCCTTCACGGATTATGGACACCGCTTGTATAAATGCTTCTTCAAATAGGCTACATATGTCTTCGTCAAGATACCTTGACTTGACCTCTTCCTGTGAGGCGTGACGCATTAGATTGCGGTGATTAGAACGAAATTCTACACGCATTGAAGACAATGATTCAAGTCTGACAGAAAAGTAAGATTCCGTTTTACGCGACATGGGATCTTTCTTAAAATTAGTGACCGCTTTTTTGTGATTTTTGCTCACTGATAAGATCACCTGGAGCAGGGGAATCTTTGCTTTCCGACATTTTAATGACAAAAAACCAACTTTATATAAAATCAAAATGCACTCACCCTCAAACCACCTGCGACTACCTGCATAACCTCGCTTCCGACTCCACCGAAATCCTCACAGGAGGCACCAAATGTTTGTTTGTTTATTAGTCCGAATTATTTTCCAGTGTTGATTGTGAACAATTAATATGCTCGTAGCTTTAGTGCACGCTAATCCAAAAAAAAGACGATTATAGGCGATGTAAAACTTAGGTTTTATTTGTACAAAAAAAATATTGCTACTCAAAAAAAGGGCGGGCTATTTCCGCGGTAAAAAATGCTTGTGTTTTTCTTTCAACTAGAATTTACAGCAAACATGAATAAGAAAAACACGTATTTGACATTTCCTTTTGGTTAGCTATTTTCTAACAGGGTTGCCATATGTCTGTGGCAATGATGGTACATCCAACAATATGAGAGTTATTTATGAAAAAGGGTTTATTTATAAATCGTTAGTCGTTGGAAAAGGTTTTATAAGTAATATAATTAATATGCTTCCTATTGAACGTCATTTGCCTAGTTCTCAATTTTGTAGACCTGGAACGAAACTACGGAAACTTTTAGTAAGAGGATTGAGGGATTAATCTACTAGACACTGCTTGTACAGAACATGATATATCATATTTCAATAACAAAGATTTAGATAACGGACATATTGCTGATAAAAAATTAATTAAGAAGGTTTGGGAAAGAGTTAAAGCGAAGGATAGCAATCTTAATGAGAAAACGAATGCTTGGTTAGTTATAAATATAATGAAGACAAAAACGAAATCCGGTATGGGGTACGCTTATAGTAAAAACTAAAAAAGTGGGAGGAAAAACTGGTTATCAGCTCTTCAATCATGCCTTAAAAAGTGCTACACAAAATTTAAAGAAAAGTGATAACTTGAAAGGTTGCAAATAATATTTTCAGAGTAAAAAAATCTATAATAAAATCACCACGTGTAATATCATTACCTAAATCTGGAGGATTTCCCCATTAGCGCCTTTAATCGTAGCATTAGGAGCACTTGGAAGTCTATCTGGCGGTACAGCAGGAATTATTAAAACAATCAATGCTATAAAGACTGGACAGGAGCAGTTATTGGTGGCAAAACGTCATAATAATACAATGGAAGCTATTTCAATGGGAAAATACATATTCTTAAAGCCTTATAAAAAGGGATTCGGATTATATTTAAAACCATATCAAAAAAACTCTTAATGAAGCTACCTAGAAGACCTCTTACTGATGTACACTTGAAGTATTCAAAATTTATTCCAAATTTTAGAGGGGTATTCATGTGTGACACTTTACCATGTAAACCATTTAAGAGAGAATGTGGAATAATAAATTTGGATAGTTCAAATACTGGAAAACGATAATGAGATTGATTAATTCGATAGCTTTGGAAAAACGTATAGCCTCCTGAACATTAAATATAACTATAATAAACAGCAAAGCTATAATTCATATAACTGCGGACAATTATGTTTAAAACTATTATTATCAAAATAAATAAGTAATTTTAAAACTCTCTTTTATTTAAAATTAAATTTTATTTGTTCACATCATCAACATCATCAGACCTTTCCATTCATATATATACTGGAAAAACGATAATGAGATTGATTACTTCGATGGCTTTGGAAACTTACAGCCTCATAAGCAAATAATAAAATATTTAGGAAAAGACATTAAATATAACTATAATAAACAACAAAGCTATAATTCATATAATTGCGGACATTTATGTTTAAAATTCTTATTATCAAAATAAATAAGTAATTATAAAACTTTCTTTTATTTCAAATTAAATTTTATTTGTTCTCATCATCAACATCAACAGACCTTTTCATTCATATACACATACATATTAAATACTTAGCAATTAACTATGTGAACATTATTAACACACTTTTCTAGGGGTGGAGCATCTATATATGTATATAAATATGTATGTATGTACGTTTGCATATAGATGTATGTATGAGAATACGTATGTATATATGTATACCAATACACTTTACCAATTTTCGACATATAAACCAAATTGTATCGGATTTCTTCGATTTCCATCAGCAATACAAATATAAATACTTGTAAATATCATAAAAATTCTATGATATGTGCTGAAAAAAAAGTAATAATATTAAGAAACTTTACTTCTTCATTAAATATCTAATAAATAAAAAAAAATAAGAAATTATAACACTTTATTTTATTTCAAATTAGATTTTATTTGTTTTCAACATCAACAGACCTTTCCATTCATATATATGTATATATATACATATATATTAAATAATTGATAATTAACTATGTGTGCATTATTTACACACTTTTCTAGCGGTGGAGCATCTATATATGTATATACATATGTACGTATGTACGTTTGTATATATTTCTGACTGCATATCAACACACTTTACTAATTTTCGACATACAAACCACCATGTATCGGATTTCTCGGATTTCCATCAGCGGTACACCCTGTGATCGGTTCCGGTTGTCACCAGCGACATCTTGCGGCTTTTATCTTGGTTCTGAACTTGGATTACGATCGGCGACATCTTTTGGCGGAGCAGCAAAGCTTGCGGCGGAGCACCAGCAAACCTTATAGCGGTTCTGGACCGGAGCAACAGCAAACCATATAGCGAAGGCCCTTGCCATCATTAATAGCGTCCAGAATTCTTCCCGTCAAACCAGCACATTTCAGATGGTAAATACCGTCACACAGCCAGCACGATAAGTAGCGTTCAGAATCGCTTTTAATTTGGCAAGTATCAAGATCGCACTTCATATTGAAAGATTTATGTAATACACTCGTTAATAAAAGACAAACAAAATAAATTATAACAAATAAGGAGCTAATGTAAATAGCTTTAAATAAATGTAGCGAACAGTTATGACACTTAATAAACGCAACGCAAACAGCTGTGCCAAGAATTACTAGAAGAAGTAAACAAAAAGAGTAGAACAAATGTGCAAAAACAAAATGAATTCAGTTAACTACAAAGGATACAACAACAATGATAGCAACAAATGACTCGGCAAAATTAGAATGTATGCTAGTGAAATTTAATTAAATTTACTTTAATATAAATCCAATAACTTTCAGTTAGCTTCAATTATTTCACACTCTGATGCTCATAAGCACTTTTTATCACTACTTTAACACAGAATTAGCACAATGAACTTAGCAAGTAGAAAGCCAAAATCAGAGCACAATAAAGCACAACCTCACAGCTTGACGTTTGTAATGCAATTGATCAAGCAAGAAGTCTAATCCAATAATGACTTCATCCATAATCGCCGCGACTATGAACTTGTGTAACACCGTCACATTCCTTATTGCGACTTTGCATGTTACCTCTCCTACAACTTGGGTGTCCTCACCAGTTGCTGTCCTCAACATTGCTCCAGGTAATGGCCTTACCTCTTTAGTGACCAAATCAGATCGAATGATAGAATGTGATGCGCCCGTATCCAGAGTTAGTACTCGCTAAAGTCCGTCCACATATCCACCAACAGTACCGTTCCTCGCTTTTCTGCCAATTCGCGAGTCGGAGATTATGGGGCACTCAATTGCGGGAGCCAGCGCGCGCATCTTGCTGCTGGCCCGTTTTAGTTTAACGACTGATTGGAGTTGGATTCGTCTCCTTCAGCCCTGCGTTTGCGTTCTGCTGAATTGTTGAGCGCACTGGAACTTGCGCTGCAATCGCGGGCGAAGTGGCCTGGCTTTCCACATTTAAAACATTTGCCAGAGCCATGCTTTTTCTCACCCAGCAGTTGGATAATCTTCTTCAGCATTTCATTTGTCTCGTCCGGTGTTTCCACTTCCATGCGATTTGCTTTGTAGGCTGGTCTACTTAGGAGCGCCGCCGTTTCTCGCGTCTGAGCATTCGAGACAGTTTCGGCAAATGTTGGCTTTGGGTTCGCGTACGTCTCCCGCTTGGTATACACGTCCCGCATTCCGTTGATGAACCTCTGGATTTTTACTCTTTCGAGGTGCTCACCAGATGCATCTCCAATTGCCAAATGAGCTAACCTTTCAACCTCGGAGGCGAATTCCTGTAGAGTCTCGTTGGACTTCTGGCAGCGATTCTCCAGCTCCATCTGGTAAATCTGTCTCCTGTGCTCGCTACCATAACGTCTTTTCACTGCACCCATTAATGCATCGTAATTGTTCCTTTCACAGTCAGGAATTCTCTGCAAGATTTCCACTGCAGGTCCATTTAATGCCACGAACAGAGCAGCAGATTTATAATCCATGCTCCAACGATTTGCTGTAGCTGTCTTCTCGAACTGGAGCTTAAAGACTTGGAAAGGAATCGTGCTGTCAAAGGATGGAGTCTTTACCTTGGGAGCACTTGCCGAAGACGATTTATCTGCAAATCTCGGAGGCGACCTTCCAACTCTTCTACCTTTGCTTCGACTTTCTCCTGACTCTCTTCAAGTTTGTCCTGTGTTTGTGTAATTTGTGTGCCTTTAGCTGAGTTTTTAACCGGGATGACACCTGCGATGACACCTGCGCTGATACCTCTGAAGATATACCTGTCACCAGCACTTGCATTTGTGACGACAGCTGTGATGACATCTGTGACATGCGTGTATCCTGTGCTTCCATCATCTGTGACATGGCAGCCAATAGCGTGTTCATGTTCATAGGTGTTGATGAAGAATGAGTCATTTGCAGTTCTTCAACTTTCCCGGATCTGATGCACATCCTTCGACGAACATGCAGCCACATCCTTCTGTTCATCCTTCGCGGATGCATCGTCGGGTTTACCCTGGAAGTCATATTTGTC